TTCACCCCCCGACCCCCGCATCAGTACCCCTCCTGTGATACCCTAGCTACGACCCTGGATTCCGTGTCTCCCGGGCTGCACTAGGGGGTGAACGCCCTCGCCTGACCCAGACTCAGAATCGATCTCCATTCGTTGCACTGTTGGCAACCCTCCCCTCATCCCCCTCGTCCTCTTCTCCGCCGCCCTCCGGAGTACCCTGGGAGGCTCGTCACACTCGCGGATTTTATTCCGGTTAATCATTGATGGCGATAGGATCGAGTATGTCACCGGATGCAACGATACGCAGCGAAGGGTTGTTCGAACTTCGCCACGAGTGCTTAGGAAAAATAAGAAACGTTCTCGAGCGTGGATAGATAACTTCCGCTAATAGGGATTTTTGAAAAGTTTTCGTTAGTTAGGGGATGGACTTCTATATTTATTGAATATATTGGAGCTCAACCTTTTATTCATTGTTTCATTAAGGTTTAAGATTGTTCACTATTCACTCATTGAAGATTCTTCAAGTCTCGGGCTCAAGCAAGCACTCCGCGAGGAGGTGATGTGGAACATCTGTTTTTACGAGTGGTGCTCGATAAAATTTTGTAACAACTCTTAGCCGTTCGGTCTACTGATACGCTTCGTAATGAATGAAATTAAATTCCAGTTGTAATTATTGTTGTTCTCGTTTTGGTTAGTACCATCTAAAGAATTTCGCAATGGACTACTCTACGAGTATCCCACCGGCAGATTTTAATAGCTGATACTCTTTCGTGGGCAACATGTCGATTACTATAATCTGTCGTGTTGATTATTATGTACTGGTCGTCGTTCATGCACCTTCTTCAGTGTTCCCGAAGTATTCAAACAACCGTGATCTTGAAATATTCAAGCAACCGTGGCGATGGAATCGATCGCACGATGGCAGTGATAATACTCAATCATCTGTTATTTGAGTATCTCTAGGACTCATGAATTCTTGATCACGTGCTATTTTAGTGGACGGTTTCTCCCGTAGGCCTCCGCGTGACTTTGGAAATCTTGCCAGGATCTACGGAGCCCCGACCTAGGGGAATACGTACATTATTATTCAACGGAGCGCAGTTCTACAATTTCATCGATTCGAAAATAAAATGAAATCGTCACTTTCCTACATCAAATGGAGAATAATGGACGAATAAATCGCGAGGGGTCCCTAAACGTTGAATAGAGTCATACATTTTTTAACAGTTAGCAACATTGTAAGGAAATTGTATTTCCCACAGAAAAAATTAATTGAGACAGTTTCACATCGTCGATACTGTAAAACTGCACACGATTTTTATGGAAGTTCAATACTTTGTATTACGTTAGTACCAAGTTTCTTGAAGTATACATAATTAAGAACATTAGAAGTGTAGACAAGAGTTTCTTGGAATATCGCGAAATATTGAAAATTGTCTGGTTTTGTTAAACGTTTCTCGATTACGGGAACGATTTCAGATTACAAATCAATGTACGAAGCAGTAACACTCACTTAGAACTCAAGACACACGATACCGATAACCGAAGAGGAAACCGATACTGTGCTGTACACCCATTTCTCAATGAATCCAATGCTCACGATACTGAAGTACCATTCAATACAATGTTAACCACTCAAGATTTAATCGAGGACTTTAGAATCAATAAGGTTAAATGATGTTGGAATTGTGCAGGTGAATCGTCTAAGAATGAAATCCAAAATATCTTTGTTGATTTTAATAACATTAGAAACACTTTCAAATTATTGATGTTGACTTTAATATTACAACAGTAAAAGTAAATCAATACAGTTGAAAATCATCGATGACTTCAAAATTTGGAAAAATATCATTTTTATGATATTTCCGTAGACAGCTAAAACTAATTTTCATCTGAATAATATACCACCCATGTTTTTGACAATACAAGAAAACGCATTGGAAAAGTCTTACTTAGTTTCAAGGCTAATATAATCAATCATCGACAGTTTTTTATAATCTGTTTTGCAACGCAGTAGACCATCAACGACCTCAAACGACTTTTAACCATAGGCCATTATAAGCCGTCTCCAAACGCTTTATCCGAAGATAACTAAA